TTGATTAATTCCTGTAGTTTTCAGATTTCCGTAATTTTTTAATTCCTGTAATTTTTCAGAAAACTTCATTATTTTAATAATTCCGAAAACATGTAATTTTCGTATTTTATTTTGGGAATTTTCGAAATTTTGTAATTCCTGTCATTTCTCAGTTATTCTCGTTATTTTCATAATACCCCCTTAGTTTTTACAATTTTCGAAAAACTCGAAATTTTCGTAATTCCCATTATTTTCGTATTTTTTTAATTTCCGTAATTTCTCAAAAAAACTCCGTTAGTTTTATAATCCCCGAAATTTTCGAAAGTTGGTAATTTCCGTATTTTTTTTTTTGAGGATTTTCAAAATTTTTTAATTCTTGTCATTTCTCAGATAATTCTTGTTATTTTTTAATTCCTCCTTATTTTTTTCAATTTTTGGAAAACTTCTTAATTTTCGTTATTCCCGCAATTTTTCGCGCTTTTCCCATCGTGATGTTTTCGTAATTCCAGTAATTATTTCTGTACCTCAGAGGTAAAGTGTATTAAGTCATAATATTATAATTTTTCAGGAGAGTCAAAAAAACAATTGTAAATCACGTAAATTAGGTATCTCTTTGAAACCCTATAATTTAGTGATTCGATATTTCGGTTGTCTTAAAAGCTAGGTGTAAGAAATTTTTTTTAGAGGTCAAGTAAGCTATTAAAAGTAGTATTCAGCCAAAAACCTATTTTCGAAAAAAAAGTGACTTAATACAGTTTACCTCTGAGGTAGAGATTTGTATTTTCAATTTTTCAATTTTCAACTTTCCTAATTTCCAAAAAAAAATTCGGAATTTCCGAATTCTCCCTAAGTTATTGTAATTTTCATAATAGACCGATCTCCTATTACCTGGACTGCGCGCGTCGCTTGTAGGCTGCAGGTGAGCGTCCAATGAGAAGCAAGTTTGTGACAGGCTTGCGTCATATTCTAATTTAGGAGCCAGTTCAGAATCAATCGTTCCTTCTTTCTTTGTAACGTGTAATTTGACAAAGAGCAAACTAATACTTTACATATTACTTGAACTCACCGCAGTTTCGTTTGAGGTTATGTTAGATTATACTTGACATATTTCATTGAGCGATGTTGCCGGATGAAACATTTATCAAAATAAAAGTGCAAACGATAGTCATCCACTTTAAAGCTCTTCTTTTGTCTGATTTAAGGCATTGTAAAACTCTCGAAACCATATCACTTCTTTAATGTCATAATGTTCGATTTGTATTGTCTACATTTTGTTCTGCAACAATACAATCTGGCTACACTGCAGCCTACGAGTTGCGCGCGCATGTCATCTTCTATTGCTTTTTAGCTTGTATTTATTACAATTAAGCTCACTTTTTCTAATCATGCGAGACAGGTCTATTTCAAAAACTCGTGATTTCCGTTATTTTGGGAATTACCGTAATTCACGTAATTTTGGAATAACTTTGTAATTCTTTCCCGTAATACTTCGTAATACCCGTAATTTTTGTAATTTTTGTAGTTTTTCGTATTTTCCTTAATTCCCGTAATTTTTATAATTTCTCATAATTCCTGTTTATTTTCCATTGGAAAAATTTGAAATTTTGGATAAATGAGCTTCTCACTTTCCAAAAAATTTCAAAATTTTCCCTTCACTAGTTTTCCAAGAAATCTTTGAAATCTGTGAGACTGTATTTTCAATTAATTCAGTTATTGTAGGTTGATTTTCAAGTTTCCTCATGTTGTAATTTTCTACTGGAAAAATTTAAAATTCTGGGAAAATGAGCTTCTCACCAGTGGCGTAGTGACAATGTTCCGGGCCCGTGTTCAAAAATTTTACCGGGCTCCTACTCCTGCAAGATAAATAAATTGAAAAATTAATGAAGTATATTTTTTTTTCTTCTAAATATGCAGGGTGAACGAAAGTATGGAACATATTCAATATAATAAATGAAGGCGTTTTGGAAAAACCGCTCGGACTGGTCGATTTTGTTTTTTTGCATGAGCTTTTTTCACACCAATTCTTTCATACAGGTGGTTTCAAGAACAGCTGTACCGTACGTTTTCTAAATCGTACATTCTGTATATCATGACATTTTTTGATTCTGCGGAAAATTCTAGACATATTTCATGTGCAATGTCATGCCACATATATCCTGTTCGGACTCGAATTGACTGTTCGGAGTGTTCGGACTCTATGTGAACTAGAACCAGTGCTTGACATGACGTCAACGCCGAAAACCTTTGAATATGAAACTACAGGAAGGAGCGTTGTCTATCTGTCACTACAAACAAAAAAGAGACGGAAGCGGCCATATTGAGCCTCCAAGTTTGATCCATCATTTGTTTTGGTGGTTCGCTGTGTCCTCATTCAAGTGGATGTTTAATGGATTTTAGCGGTTTTAAGTGATAATAAGCACTGGGATTAGTGCGAAAAGAGTGAGTCATAATACTGACAATCATATTTAAATAAATATACGCCACTGCCAAACCGGAAACACTAGTCGGCCATATGCAACCTCTACATATTCTGGTCCCGCAGATTCGAGGTTATGCTCCTTCCTGTTGTTTTATATTCAAAGCCGAAAACCGAAGAACGACAGATGACAGCTGACACACACTTGAAACAAGTTGCAGCGTCATTCTCACTCTTTTTACTTGTATTTTTTTGCTTCGCCACGCTTTGCTGTTCTTTTTGGCATTTTGTACAAATAAAGTTAAATAAACGAAAAGAGAAATTTCAGGGATTGTTTTAATCATATACATATCCTAAGGGCCGGTTTCTAAATAGCGAGTCATTTGAAGTCACCCCTGGGTTAGGCATAACTCCAGAGTAAACATTGCAACTTCTTACATGCTACCCTGGAGTTAAAACCAACCCGGAGGTGACTCGCTATTGAGAAACCGACCCTTCAAATTAAATCTTAAAGCCTAGTACTCATAACCGCGAAATTCGCTCTTTTTTCACATTGCTTCGAAAATTTGACGTTTGATTCACGCATAAAACGTCAAATTGTCAAAGCAATGTCAAAAAATAGCGAATTTAGCTGTTATGAGTACTAGGCTTAACTCACCTAATTAGAGGGCAGCACAATTTTTTTTTAACTTAAGTCTAGTACTCATAACTGCGAAATTCGCTTTTTTTTTGACATTGCTTCGACAATTTGACGTTTGATACACGCATAAAACGTCAAATTGTCAAAGCAACGTCAAAAAAGTGCGAATTTCGCTGTTATACTGGGGAAAAAATAATATTGACATCTAGAACCGGGCCCCTTGAGGTACCGGGCCCGTGTTCCATGGAACACGCGGAACACCGGTGACTACGCCCCTGCTTCTCACCTTCCTCTTTACATGCAAAAAGTTCCAAAATTTTCCCTTCTCTAGTTTTCCAGAAAAACTTTAAAATGTGAGACTGTATTTTTAACTAATTCAGTTTTGTAGGTTGATTTCCAAGATTTTCTATGTTGTTGTTTTCCATTGGAAAAACTTGAAATTTTAGAAAAATGAGGTTCTTACTTTCTTCTTTACATGCAAAAAGTTTCAAAATTTTCCCTTTACTAGTTTTACTAGTTTTCCAGGAAAACTTTGAAATGTGTCAGACTGTATTTTCAACTAATTCAGTTTTTGTAAGTTGATGTCCAAAATTTTTCATGTTGTTATTTTTCACTCGAAAAAATTGAAATTTTGGGAAAATAGGTTTCTCACCTTCCTCTTTGCATGCAAAAAATTTCAAAATTTTCCCCTCATTAGTTTTCCAAGAAAACTTTGAAATATGTGAGACTGTATTTTCAAATAATTCAGTTATTGTAGGTTGATTTTCAAGATTCCTCATGTTTGTAATTTTCCACTTCCTCTTTACATGTAAAAAGTTTTAAAATTTTCCCTCCTCTAGTTTTCCAGGAAATCTTTGAAATGTATGAGACTGTATTTTCAATTAATTCAGTTTTTGTAGGTTGATTTCCAAGATTTTCCATGTTGTAATTTCCTACTGGAAAAATTTGAAATTCAGGGAAAATGATCTTCTCACCTTCCTCTTTACATGCAAACAGTTTCAAAATTTTCCCTCCACTAGTTTCCAGGAAATCTTCGAAATGTGTGAGACCGTATTTTCAATTAATTCAGTTATTGTAGGTTGATTTCTAAGATTTTTCATGTTGCTGTTTTCCATTGAAAAAATTTGAAATTTCGGGAAAATGAGCTTCTTACCTTCTTCTGTACATGCAAAAAGTTTCAAAATTTTCCTTTTGCTAGTTTTCCAGGAAAACTTTGAAATGTGTCAGACTGTATTTTCAACTAATTTAGTATTTGTAGGTTGATTTCCAAGATTTTTCATGTTGTTATTTTTCAGTGGATAATTTTCTACTGGAAAAATTTGAAATTCTGGAAAAATGAGCTTCCCAGCTTCCTCTTTACATACAAAAAGTTTCAAAATTTTTCCTTCACTAGTTTTCCAGAAAAACTTTGAAATGTGTGAGACTGTATTTTTAATTTATCCAGTTTTTGTAGGTTGAGTTCCAAGATTTTTCATGTTGCTGTTTTCCACTGGAAAAATTTGAAATTTTGGGAAAATCATCTTCTCACCTTCCTCTTTACATGCAAAAAGTTTCAAAATTTTCCCTTCACTAGTTTTCCAGGAAATCTTTGAAATGTGTGAGACTGTATTTTCAATTAATTCAGTTATTGTAAGTTGATTTTCAAGATTTCACTGTTGCTGTTTTCCACTGGAAAAATTTGAAATTTTGAAAAAATGAGCTTCTTACCTTTTTATTTACATGCAAAAAGTTTCAAAATTTTCTTTTTTTTTTAGAGGAATTTGTGAGGTATTTGGAGAAGTTCATGGTGTGGTATTTGGAGGAATTTGTAGGAACTTTGAGGAATTATGCGTAAAAAATTTCCCCTTGAGGAATTGTTTGCACCAATTCTGGGATGGTGGTTTACCCCTTGAATTTTTCTTAATTATTCACAATATGTTATATTAAGTGCCTCTCGATGATTAATTATTATCTTGTTTTTTTCAGTACCAATTTAGTTCAGAAGAGATGAGAGTTCTAAGAGAATGCAACAAAGAAAGTTTTTTTGGACGATCTTTGCCTTTTAGCACTATTTTGGGTGGACTAACTTACTATGGAATTCATACTGGTAAGTAAACAAGGTGGAAGAAAAAAGTTAAGATCGGATTGAAATTAACAAAGTTGTGAGACAAAATGTGTGTCAATATTGTTTAGGAAAAAATCAAATTTCCAAAGAACAACATTGAGGGATACGTTTTTTTTTTTTGAGGAAAATGTTTAACTGATTGGATTGAAATTTTGTTAATGGAGAAAAAAGAGATTGAAATTTTGGAGGAAAAATGGAAAATTTCTTCTGATTACTACTTTGTTAAAAATCTAAGATGATTCTAAAAATGTTGAATCTTGCAGCAATTTCTTCAATTACTGGTTACTTCAAAATTTGATTTTCTCACTATAAAGTTTCAAATCTTCAAAGCAAAGTCTCTATAGAATCTTGACTCAAAGTTTTTAGCATTCAATTTTTGAAGTTTTTACATACAATTTGAAATCAGTTAGTTTTAAATTCAAATTCAAAATTTTTTACTCAAAGTTGAATTTTGACTGCTCAAATTTTTTCAGTACCTCGTCTATAATGAATCGCTTCAAAATTTTCTGACTTGATTATTCGTAGTTAAATAAAAATGAAGAAATTTCAATTTTTACGAAAAAACTAACTGAATTTCAAATTTTTTGAGAAAGCAAGGGAATTTCAAAAATTTTGAAAAAAGTAAGGGCATTACAAAGTTTAATATTTATTGTAGGCCTTTTCAAAAGAAGTAGATCATTCGGAGCAGTACCTAAAGTAACGGCAGCCATAATCACCGGGTATATACTGGGCAAATTTTCTTACCATCAAAAATGTGCCGAAAAATTCATGGCTTTACCTGATAGCAAAGTTGGCAGGATGATGAAAGCCAGAAGACTTGGAATTCCAGACGACGAGTAAGAATCTTTCATATATACAGTGTGTCCATTTAAGTTATATTACAGTTAAAAGTTATCACAAACAAACCTGCCATATTTTAAAAAAAAATTGGAAAAAAGGTTTTTCAGTTGAAAAAACGATTTTTTCTAAAACTTTGACACCCTGTATCTCAAAAACTACGCATTTTCAGACACATGTTTACAGGAACTTTTTGTCTCAAAATATTGTAAGGAATCACATCCTGTATATTTTTTTATTTTTTGACCACCCTGTACATGCTATTTCAAGTTTTAATAGTTTAATATTATTTTTTCAAAAAGCAGAAACTTTTATATAGAATAACTTTTTTTTGTAAGGCCCGAGTTACCCAATTCCTTAATTCTTAATATTTGTCCTTAATTCTTAATTCTTAAAAAGTTCAATTTATTTAACATTGGGGTTTTTAAGGATTAAGAATTAAGAACGAAAATTAAGAATTAAGGAATTGGATAACCCCGGCCTAAAATTGATAATAAGAAAGCTTTCCATATGCTGCGAACCTAAGTAACCACACTATATCACATACATTTTATTTTTTTCTGGAAAACTCTCCAGGAGAAAGTTATGACATTTTCCGGAAAAAAAGAGGAAAGTCAGGGACGTATCATAGTAAAATGTCAAATTTTTCCAATAGAAAATAACCCCATTGGAAATTTTAAAAAATCAACTAAATTAGGCATAAATGCACCATCTAACATTTTATTTTTTTTCTGGAAAACTATTCAGGGGAAAATCATGACATTTTCTGGAAAAAAAAGAGGAATGTCAGGGGCGTATCATAGTGAAATTTCAAACTTTTCCAGGAGAAAATAACCTCATTGGAAATTAATAAAAATCAACTAAATTAGGCATAAATGCAACATCTAACATTTTATTTTTTTTCTGGGAAACTTTTCAGGAGAAAATTATGACATTTTCTAAAAAAAAAGAGGAAAGTCAGGGGCGTAACATAGTAAAATTTCCAATTTTTCCAGTAATAAATAACCCCATTGAAAATTATTGAATATCAATTAAATTAGGCATAAATGCGTCATCTAACATTTTATTTTTTTTCTGGAAAACTATCCAGGGAAAAATTATGACATTTTCTTGAAAAAAAGAAAAAAGTCAGGGGCGTATCATAGTGAAATTTCAAACTTTTCCAGTAGAAAATAACCCCATTGGAAATTAATGAAAATCAACTAAATTAGGCATAAATGCACCATCTAACATTTTATTTTTTTTTTGAAAAACTATTCAAGGGAGAATTATGTTATTTTCTGGAAAAAAAAAGAGGAAAGTCAAGGGCGTAACATAGTAAAATTTCAAATTTTTCCAGTGGAAAATAACCCCATTGAAAATTAATGAATATCAACTAAATTAGGCATAAATGCACCATCTAACATTTTATTTTTTTTCTGGAAAACTATCCAGGGAAAAATTGTGACATTTTTTGGAAAAAAAGAAGAAAGTCAGGGGCGTATCATAGTGAAATTTCAAATTTTTTCAATAGAAAAAAACCCCATTGGAAATTAATGAAAATCAATTAAATTAAACATAAATGCACCATCTAACATTTTTTTTTTTTTTGAAAAACTATTCAAGGGAGAATTATGTTATTTTCTGGAAAAAAAAAGAGGAAAGTCAGGGGCGTAACATAGTAAAATTTCCAATTTTTCCAGTGGAAAATAACCCCATTGAAAATTAATGAATATCAACTAAATTAGGCATAAATGCATCATCTAACATTTTATTTTTTTTCTGGAAAACTATCCAGGAAAAAATTGTGACATTTTGTGGAAAAAACGAAGAAAGTCAGGGGCGTATCATAGTAAAATTTCCAATTTTTCCAGTGGAAAATAACCCCATTGAAAATTAATGAATATCAACTAAATTAGGCATAAATGCATCATCTAACATTTTTTTTTTTTTTGAAAAACTATTCAAGGGAGAATTATGTTATTTTCTGGAAAAAAAAAGAGGAAAGTCAGGGGCGTAACATAGTAAAATTTCAAATTTTTCCAGGAGAAAATAACCCCATTGGAAATTAATGAAAATTAACTAAATTAGGCATAAATGCACCATCTAACAT